ATCAACTGACAAACAGCAAAACTATAGCGTCTCTGTTGTTTTCACTGCTTTCAGGTAATTTTAGTTAACAAAATCACACAAATAATACATACAAACGTTCCTGACACCTTTCTTACGTGTAATTGATACGCTTCTGTTGAATATTTACTTTACAGAAATGGTTTTGTGTCTTCGAAAAAGTCCGTTAGCATCTCAACCGTTTTCAGAAGAGGTAAGTTAAGTTAACGTTACACTGGAGCTCTTGTTATATATAAGTTTGGGGTTTTAACCACATCTTTGTGTTGATAACAGTTTTTGATAGTTTTGTTTTGCTGGTAATTTGTCAATGGGTGATTGGAAGTAAGCTAGTACAGTTAACCAGTGACGTCACTTACAAATATTCACTTACAAAAAAAACAGTCTTTGTGCAGTTTACAGACACTATTCAATAACGCGATTAGAACAAAGCACTTAAGAATAAACTTGCTTCATCAGCTCTCTCTCTCTCTCTCTCTCTCTCTCTCTCTCTCTCTCTCTCTAGAATAACAACTGTTTTGATTTATCCCTTCACTTATTTACTTATACACCAAAGTGAAGTAAAAAGTAATTAAAAAGTCGTTGAAGTGATTGGTAAATATATGTTTGATTTTTTCCAGGCACCAGAAGAAGAATTTCGGGCACCTCCTGAGGATGTGACTGACATACACGCACACACACACTGTATATATTTAATATTGTTTCTGTATCACTCACTGTATATAATAATAGCTACTGTTACCTAATATTTGGAAAAACTTAGATTTTTTTTATTTACTGGATTTATTTTCTGTATGCTTCCTATGCATGACCACATTAATATTAATCTATAATCTGTTTTTGTTCACACAAAATAAATATATAAATGAAGGATCCCTGCTTTGTATTTTATCTTTGATTGTGTTAAACGTGCATGCTTATGTCGCGTTCCAGGCAACCTGTAACCCGTGTTTTTCCAACCTTATACCCGTGAAAGTGCACTGGAACGGCAGTCAAACCCGTGACTTCCCACCCGTGAACTCGTACTAGATCGATGTACTCCCAGTTACGAGTTCTGACGTCACATAGCCCGCAAAACCATACAAAACAACAATGGCAGCCCCTACGGATGCAGTGTTTCTGCAGGCGGTACACAGTGAGAATACACTTTAGGACAATATAACGCTGCAGTCAAATTAATAATAATATAATAATAATGATAATAATACACACAAGTTTATGTATTACAATGTTATGTGTCTGAAACAATAAGTATGTATATACACACACGATTATGTATTACAATGTTATGTGTCTGAAAAAATAAGTATGTATATTGCGCTCAGGTAGTTTGGCGTGACTGGCCTGGAATGCTACAAAGTCGTGAGTCGTGGTTTGAAGTCGTGATTTACGTGCTCAAAAACCTGCCTGGAACGCAGCATTATTCCTGATTAAGGTTCTGCAAGAAGAACAGTTTCTGCAGTTACATTCTAGTTTGGTTCCCTATGCAGGTCCTTGAAACCAGTGGGGACGGTCTTAGAACGTTCTAGGAACATCACATTTCCAAATAAAACATGGTCCCCTAAACGTTCCGAGAACGTCCCGAATGTTCCGTGAAGAACCGCAAAATAACGTCCCCCGACCCTTTAAAGAACTCCACATCGCGACCGTCTCAGAACGTTCCCGGAACGTTACTAGGCGACGTATTTGACACCAGTGGGGACGTTCTGAGAACGTTCTCATTTCCAAATAAAACATGGTCCCTTAAACGTTCCGAGAACGTCCCGAATGTTCCGTGAAGGTCCGCAAAATAACGTCCTCCGCCCCTTTAAAGAACTCCACATCGCGACCGTCTCAGAACGTTCCCGGAACGTTGCTAGGCGACGTCCTTGACACCAGTGGGGACGTTCTGAGAACGTCCTGGGAACGTAACATTTCTAGCTGGGTATGTAACGGAGTAAAAAGAGTTGCTAGTTAAATTATATTAAAAGTGATGCAACTACGCCATCTAGGGGTAGTTTGATTCAGTGTGACTGTGGGAATCGCGTTGCACTTACCCACACTGAGATAGAGAGATAATGGGTAAGTCACGCAATTTGGGAGGTCTGGGACAATCAAGGTTTTCTTATAATTCTAAGTACATATGTCTCGTATTTTGTCACGCGATGTACTTATAATGATTTCAGTTAACTATTTTGAGTTTAGTTGATGATTTATGTGTCTTGTAAAGCCATGTTTTAGAGATTTGCAACCAAGCATATTTTCATGTGAACTAGCGTGCTAATTGTCACTTGCTTTACATCAGGGGTCTCAAACTCAACTTAACTGGGGGCCGCTTGAGGTAGAGTCGGGGTCAGGCTGGGCCACATCAAGTATTCCACAAAAAATAGTATTCAAGTATTCCAAAAAAGGAGCACAACTGATCCAATCTTCTCAATATTTATTATTAACGTTTCTTCTGAACTGTTCCTCTGAATTTGAACATTCCTTTCTGTACATGATTGGTTCTTCATGAGCTGTCCTTCTGACAGTTGAAGTTCATTTTACAAACTTTCTTTGCTATAACACATATTTGTGATATTTATATTTGCTTATGTCCTTTTTATTTTCTCTATACAACACATTAATGATATTGAATGTTTTTTTTGGAAGGCACATTTCCTTTTATTATACTTAGAAAAACAATTATTGCTTTTGAAATACAAATATTTGCAGTCATGTCTGCCCGTCTTATTGAATTGTTTCTACACATGTATAGTGTCTCAAATTACTGACTGCACAAATCAGAGCAAACCTTCTTATCAACCTGTTGGACACATATTACAAGCTCAAAGTGATTATTCTCACATTGTTTTAGGGTCTCTCTCCAACACGTCGCTCGCGAGCTACCAGTAGCTCGTGGCCTGATTGGTGGTAGCTCGCCAAGGGGCCGTTCACATATCGCGCTCACATATTTTGCGCGCTCAAGTTCGTTATTTCAAATGTAGGCGCGCGGTAAGCGCGCTCATAATTGAAGCGACGCGCTCATTTTTTCCAGGCGCAGTATGTTTGTACTTCGCGGTTGTCTATGACAACTATTGACAACAAACCCACCGTAAGCTGTCACGAGACTATCTATGGTAGCCCATAAGGGATAAAAAAAAAAAAAAACTCGGCACACGCAATGACGGGCCGCACTAACATTAAAATTTAATGTCAAGTAGGGGGCCACAAAATATCACCCCGCGGGCCGCAAATGGCCCGCGGGCCGCGAGTTTGAGACCACTGCTTTACATGCTATTTAGATTGTTGTCCCGAGATCTATTTGCTGAACCCAAGATTCAACACTGTCATACTGTGTTCCAGGTAATAATCTTATGTTGTGTAAATGGTTTTATCGTCATGTTATTTGTTGTGTGCAAATCGAGTTTAGCGGACCAGCGTGGTAGTCTTGAGATTAGCCAAACATGTGCTTGAGTGCTGCGTTTGCAATGATAATGTTCTTTATTTTGTTATTTCAATATAATGTAAATGGATCAAGCAGTTTCATTATTGTACTGCTGAAATGTACTGTATGTTGTATGTAGAGATTATAATTCAGCCTAAATATTCTAAAACCACTATACGATCACACAGTTTTATTTTATTTCATAGACATACAAGTTATGCATTTTTGTTGTGAATATGTTTGGTATCTAATTTGGTTTATTTTCCATTAGGAGTATCACATACATTTGTAACCAGTACAAATACATTCCTGTATCTGTATAGCATTTACACACACTGAGATAGAGAGATAATGGATTGTTGTCCCGAGATCTATTTGCTGAACTCAAGATTCAACACTGTCATACTGTGTTCCAGCAATAAAGAAACCTGATCCAAGTGGTTGTCCGTGGTGATGTGTAGCAGCAACAGTAGGATGGAGTGACCCGTCACACATAGACTCCGCATTAGCGACTTATGTATATTATGTCATTGATAGGTGACAATGACAAGGGACGAGCCATTATTTAAACCTGGAATTTCTCACGATTTACAAATCCTTAGGAACTTTTGGGATACTGTAGGTACACAACTGCATGAAATATATCACACTGTGAAAGTGGCTTTTGAATATTTTATTACAAAAATCTTACATATTGTACCTTTTAAGAGTGAAATATGAGTTAACATTGTTAAAAATAGCAGAGATAATAAAGTAATTTCAGTCTCATTACATACAATATTTTAATTTTTGTCTGTCTTTCTTTAAATGGGGGTGTGGGCCTACGACTCTTTCTTTGAAAAAGGCCTCCGAATTCTGCAAAGGCTGCCTCTGCAGTTGATTGACAACCGTCTGTGGTCTCCCAATGGGTTACATGATTGACAGTTTAGTGAAAAGTGATGAATTTAAATTACACACAAACATAATAGATAAGATCTATGCCTTCATCTCTGAAAACATTATTTTTGTCTTACATTTCAATGATTTCATAACGAACTCAAGACAAGCTGAGTGCTCAGTGCTCACTGCCAGTTCTTTTTCGTTAATTGGGATATGTGCAACGGATTGAATCCTTCAAAATGAGCTGAAGGACGCGAAACAAAGGCTGCCTTCCAAGGATCCTTCAGATGAGAGTTGGAGCCCTGCGTCAAAACAATTAACACAAGTTTGCGAAAATATTGTTTATGTGTGTTTTTCAAGCCATCTCTGGGCATTTTTTTTTATAACAATAAAGTATATGAAAAATGCAGTGGTGATTGACAATAATGGAGTGCTCATTGCCTTTGTTACAGTATAGAAACTGTAAAATAGCCTATGTTTTCTTTATATAAAATTTAAAAAAATGCACATTATAAATCCATGATGATTTATGCACACGTTTGTAGTACATAAACCAATCATAAAATTAGGGAAATTTAGGGGAAAAAATATTACAATACAAATGATAGAATATTGTTCAACAGTGTTTTTTTAGGCACCTAAGTTCTGCTGTCATTCTTCTCTAGCAATAACTTAATGCATAAGCGCTCCTCCTATACAGTTGGTGGCAGTAAAACGCCTAACGATGGTTTAGCGAATGTAGAATTAAACAAAGAAGAGGAAAAGCGGCAGAATCAACAACGCGTGGTGTGCTTGTGTTTTTGAAGTTTGTCCACCTCTCAATTTTGAAGAACAGAAATGAGCGAAACTCCTGTAACGTTCACTTCATCAGTGTCAAAGGTAATATCGAGCAGACATGCGTTCATCCTCCCATAGTTGCTGAATTTAATCAACTTTGTTGAGGATAATTATACATTCATGATATAAACACTCATAATAGTAAAATAAAAATACATCCAGACTAATAGATTATGTTTTTCAGGGATGTTTTGTTTTTAAGTCAACCTCTAAAAAGAGAAAGAGACATGTTGGTGAGTAATGATAAACATTATTACATAAAAACAAATCGATTCATCCCTGTCACCTTACAAATAAGTTACTTATCGGCATTTCCAGCATTTTGTTTCGGTTTTTTCCCCATGTAGGTGGATATTTGGTGGATGGTAGTGACGATAACGGAAGCGATCGCTTTAGGATCTGTCAGAAATTATGGGAAACGGTTCAAATGAACACAGAGGTAACGTAACTTATATATTTCCTCATCTGCGTTTGCAAACGCTTGAATTGTCTCAGTCATTACTTCATCTATTTTTGTTTCTTGATAAATATATAGCCTTTTTTTTTTTTACAGGTAATACAAGATCAGTTGAATAAACATGTGCTTGACAGTCTAGTCGAGTTTATTAAAAAGCATGACCTCGCCAACTCATCTGATGTCTGGAGACAGAGAACCAGTGAAATCCCCACAGCCGCTCTAATGCTGGGTAGGCTATGCCTTATTCTTATCCTAAATAGTAAACTTTATAAATCATTGGAACAGAAATATTCCTTTATTTGAACAACTTCGATTTGATCTATTTAAAGATTGTTTCAGAAAGTAAAGTGCATGCATGAAAGCATGTATGTGTTTTTATCAATTATTAATTTGTACAGTCTTTACTAATAATTAATATTTTGTCATGTACACCCTTCCCTTGTCTAATTTTAACATTCTTTAATGAGATGTTGTTTGTATTCTGTTCTTGCATTTCTTTAATAAAAAAGGTGGTCAGACTGAAGTATTGTGCATGGCCGCATGCGCATATACTGTAAGCTTGTGTGCTCCCCTTATGCTTGTTACAAATTGTACGATTTTGGGCTGTCCCAGACAAAATATGACCAATCGTGGCGATTTCTGTGGTCATGGCTCCTAAACAGTGGTCCTACGGCGTACAGTGAGAGAGAGGTTCATAGACCAAAGGCCTGTGACAGTGTCAGAACTTTAGCATGATCATCTCACAGTGTGTTTGCTACGACCTACGCCTACTGACTAGCCAACAAAAATGCAACATGAAATGGCATATTGATCAACGTGACATGGCGCTAAAACTTAAAACTACTTACCTTAAGCTCCATTTGCAAAATTTCCAAATTGGAAACTTTTCCCTAGCCACATATTCTCTTCCTTCTCTTTTTTCAGCACACATAAAAAACACAATTGCCAAAGTTCATCTTGCTCTATTTGTTCACCACTATCCATGTCATACAGTGTGATTTGTAATGATCTTATAAGATTGCCAAAATCGCACAGTCTGTAGCAGGCATTAAAGTCAGCATGAAACGAAAGTTGCCATACTCTTTTCTTCCCTATTGTGATGTATATCTGAGTGAAACGGCTTCTCGAACAAGAAAAAATGTAGGGCAGGACTTGATTTTGTCCATCGAGAATTGATTGGATCGTTGTATGGTTGTGGTTTGCTATTGCTGTGATGTCATGTGAGTGACAGGTTGTCATTTTATAATAAATACGGTAGGGGTGTAACGGTACATGTATTCGTATTGAACCGTTTCGGTTCGAGGCTTCCGGTTCGGTACGCATACAAACCGAACGATTCCTTGGACCATTTTTCCTACCGACAAAATTCGCGCTCGCGCGACCACCACAACGTTGCGCAACATCAAATGGCAAGCGTAAAGAAAGCGGAACGAAACTGCGCTACTCATGTGCTTCACGGATCGTTTATCAGTTCGGAGTTCGGACCAGCAACATCTGTGCAGCGCGAGCCGATCTCGATCAAGCGACACTGTCACTACACAGCGCTAAGATCCAGTAAAGAAAACATTTGAATTCGCCACTGAAGTAATAACATCGCTGCGAGATCTAGTGAGAAGCATTCACATTTCTCCGTTATTAACCGTAGATCTCTATTAGATCAAACAGCGCTGACGTGGACACCAGGAGAAATATTGTGCCGTGAATGAACTAAGTTAGTAATACTTTACGTCCACAGACCAGCAACATGCACCATAACTGTAACCAGTTTGGCTGGAATAGTGAAATGCTTTCAAGTACTTCACACATCTTTTTCCAGCACTTCAAAACTCAAATATTATATAAATAAATATATGAAGAGTTCAGATGCAAAAGCCTCTAAGTGCCATTTGAAATTTTCTTCTAGAATGATCATTTTTATGAAGCTTGTTTATTTAAGTTCAGTAATTTCACTCAAATGACAATTAATAGGTAATCTTCATTGCCATTTAAGTGAAATTACTGAACTTAAATATACAAGCTTGAATAAAGAAAATTTCAAATGGCTTTTGCATCTGAACTCTTCATATATTTAAATGTTATTTTTAATGTGATGACCAAAACATTATTTGTTCATCCTTCAAAGATGACACCCATTTATAAACCTGAAAGTTTCAAGATGTAGGAAAACTCAACTTATTTAAAAAATATTTTTTCTTTTAACAAATAGGAAATTTCTCTGGCATTTCTTACTTTTTGCTGTATCGAAAACGTACCGAACCGTGACTTTAAAACCGAGGTACGTACCGAACCGTGATTTTTGTGTACCGTTACACCCCTAAAATACGGCAATATTCCTTGAAAAAAAATATAATTTTTTTTTTGTTTCATCTGACTAGATTAATATTTGGAAACCGAGGTTTGTGTGTTTAGATCAGTGGTCTCCAATCCTGCTCCTGAAGAGCTAGGCTCTTTCTCAATTCTAAGAATATAAAGAACGATCTCGTGGTACTCTGGCTTAGCCTGGTCCCACCAGACTCTCGTACATTTCATTTGTACAGAGAGTCTGGCCTCGCTGGCCTCGTTTGGTCATGATGTATGACGACTCAAACCACTCAAACTAGCGCATGACATCAACGTCATCGTTCTCAGCCACTCACTCTGTTCGCTGATTGGACCGGTAAAAAATTGACCGGAGAAAACCAAAGAATACACCACAATCACAGACGTAGTACTGAAGGAAAATTGAGTGGAAGTATGTAGGAGGGCGGAGCCAGGCTAACTCTGGCTACCTTGAAAGAACAAACACTGAAGTTTTTTGCCCCAAGCCCCACTCCTAGTTCCACCTATTTTAGGGCTTAGTTAAACCTTTTATTGTCTTCTAGGGGTAAATGTGCCGGATCATGCCATGACATTTCGAAGTCTGTGTAATCTCCTTCAGGATTCTGTCACCCCGTTTGTGGTGTCTGTTCATGCCAAAGAATGTGCAGGTATGTATAAAACTATACACTATTAAATATAACTGAACAAGTACATATGCACTACCTTTTAATAAAAGCTGAGGTTTTCAAACATGCAAAGTGTTGATTACAGGATTCAATTTGGGTCTTAGCAGCAGTTTTTTTTCTCCACATCATTAAAAAAATAATGTTTTATGTATTCTGAAACACAGATGGATGTTTTGTCTCACTTTACACACAAAAAGTCACTTACTGTATAAGATCATCCTTGAGTTCTGGGGCCTAATGCAAACAAATCTTGCTTAGATTTCATCCTGAAGTATGCTTAAACACAAAAGGCAGCATGTAGAATCAATTTCAGATTTATTAAAATGCATGTACATCAGTAACTATGCACATATTGCTTCATATAAATCTCAGTTAGAGGAAAATTGAGCGGACAAGCTTTATTCTCCACCCGTCTACTCAAAATAAGCATATATTGAGCTCACAATGATTTATGCATAGCTTCATCCGCAAAAAAACTAGCATGCATGTCCTCAAGGCGTGATAACACCAGATTTAACAATAATCCTGCAGTTTTATGTCATTTTTTGGACAGCTGTGAAGCTCTTGATTCAGAAGCTTCTAGAGCAGCTGATGGGAAAAGGAGTGTCTGTGGATGAAGAACAGGAGGTTGAAACTGCTTTACTGCAAAGGACACAGTGTACTATTAGTGCTCTGTGTCAGTGGTACAAGACTGTTACCAAGGTAGGAGAAGATAAACTATGTTTAAAGGGTTAGTTCACCCAAAAATGAAAATTATGTCATTAATGACTCACCCTCATGTCGTTCCAGCCCGTAAGACCTCCGTTCATCTTCGGAACACAGTTTAAGATATTTTAGATTTAGTCCGAGAGTTTTCTGTCCCTCCATTGAAAATGTATGTACGGTATACTGTCCTTGTCCAGAAAGGAAATAAAGAAATCATCAAAGTAGTCCATGTGACATCAGTGGGTTAGTTAGAATGTTTTGAAGCATCGAAAATACATTTCGGTCCAAAAATAACAAAAACTAGGACTTTATTCAGCATTGCATTCTCTTCCGGTTCTGTTGTCAATACGTGTTATACGCATAAAGCAGTCTGGTGAGAAATGATTCGCGCAAACATGAAAGCATTGACGTTGATCGTGGGGAATATTCCCTTCGAAAACAAAACTCAGCCACTGCGTCTTCAGCGGTTCGGATTTAGGAACATCAAAATGACTGCTGTGTTCGTTTTTACACCCAAGAACAGAACACCACAATCGCTTAGACGCCATTCTGCTCCAGCGTATCAACAATGACGGACTATGATGACAGCTCGCTCAGGGCGGGTCTGTGTTGAAACGCTGCTGTCAATCAACAATCGTGGGAGGGGCGTCCGTTTTATTGACGTCACAAAAACGAACGGCTCAATTTGAGACAGGGGAAAATATATAAGGAGATTAAAACAAAACCACTGGATGGATTTTTATCATTATATGATGGTTGTGTACAGGCACTGCCAACACACATTTCAGTACAATCAACTTGTAAAAGTGCATGTACCATTATATGATCCCTTTAATGACATCATTTTCATTTTTGGGTGAACTAACCCTTTAACTACAATAAAAAGATATTTATATTCTGAAAGAATAGATTTAGCAGCGCTACTTGCTGAAAAGATCTCATTCCATTGTGTAGTAAACCCTGATATGATGCTCTTTGGTTTGGTTTCTTTTGTGGATTACTGTATGTGTATATTATTATCAAAATGATGAAGTACTGTATGTGATTATAGCAGCAATATATTAGAATGCTTGGGTCAGATTTAAAATTTGTAAACGAGTTTGGTAAATTCTAATAGAAGTTTGAAAGAGATTCTGTCCTGTTATTTACTGAACTTTGTACATTAAACATTCAGAATAATTGGTCTTTTGCAGAAATGCCCGCAAGTTTCTCCGCAAAGGAAAGAAAACTTGAAAAATAATGACTTGCCTCGGAGTTTGCCTGTTGTTGTGATCTTCAAAGACTTTGAGGCATTCAACTCTCAAGTTTTACAGGATTTTATCCTTATCTGCAGGTGGGATTTGTCTAGTGAAATGTAGTATGTGAAGTGTGATAGAAGTATGTGTGTGTGTGTGTTACAGTGCTTGCAAGTTTAAAAAAAAATTCTTTACACCCTCTGTATATGGACATGAGGGGTGCATCATGATGTATCAAAAGTGAATTGCTTGAATTATAATCAGCAAACTGTTATCACTGTAGGCTTTACAATGTGGTTTCATCTTACGGATACACCTTTTCTGATTTTGAAAAGCCGCACAATTAAAATTGTTTAAATATTGTAATGCATTTTGACTGTTTACAGCCCAGTCAGTGTATACATATGCGCTCTGTCGTGTTGACGGTGTTGGTTGAAAATTTCCCATTGAGATTGGATGACAAAAATCTATGGCCACAGCAGAACTCAGCATTGTATTTCATTTAAACAGAACCTAAACCTAATACCTGAGATTACATTTTTAAGACAACTGTCTTTTGCCTGCCTTGAAAGCACTATTATTTGCAGGAAATGTTAATATTGTACATTAAATTGAAAAGCTGTTGTAAATGGTCGTGATCTGAGAAACCCTAATCTTTTTTTTTCCTTACTAACAGTCGATACACCCAGGAGCTTCCATTCATCTTTATTTTTGGCATTGCCACATCTCCCAGTGCTATCCAGCACAGGCTTCCCCACTCGGTGTCATCTCTGCTCTGTATTGAGGTCTTTCAGTCTCTCTCATGTACTCAGCATTTAGCCTCTGTTTTTGACAAGGTAAATAACCATTATGTTTTGTAAAGCAAGTTAACTTTTTAGTACTTCAGTAATTTCCTCTTTTTGTTCTTCTGATTTCATTATTCGTTTGTCTTTCATAGCTGATTCTGAACTCCCAGTTTCCATTCAAGCTCAGCAGTCGGGTGATTCAGGTGCTGGTGGGCATCTTCCTCTACCATGACTTCTCGGTTCAAAATTTTGTTAAGGGCCTACAGGTGAGCTGTCAAATGTAGTGCCATGCTTGTTTCTTTCAAATGTCATTGTGGCATGTGCAAGGTTTCTTTGTTGATCATGTGTTGGAATGCACGTTATTGAAAAACAAATATCGGTAACAGTAGTGTTACTTGTTTGGCCTTTGTTGTATTCTGCCTTTTCGACCACACTACTTTCATTATTACAGGGCTGCACACCGCATGTCACTCCAAATATATTTGTCGGATACTAGGTGGTGCCGTAATAAGTAGGATTGGGTTCCGAAACCGGGCACCGATATGGAACCGGTACCTAAGTAACCGGTATCTAACCGGACCGAATCAAAACGCAGATTTCGTTGCCTCATTTCGGTGCCACTTAAATGCCTCAGCTGTCGGTTGAAATATCTGCCCTCTGGTAGGGGTGTGCCGGTTTCAGAATTGGTGATGACGGTTATGATGTGAGTCAAAAGTGACGGTTCATAACATAACCGTCGTCGGGGGGTTGAATAACTGTTCGTCTGTTATAGGACAACTTAGTTTGAATAAACAAGCAGACACTGATTAGCTACTGGCTCTACGTTTATTTAACATGAACAGCAAGACAACTAGAAGTGAATGTGCTTTCCATTAAATGTATCACACAGTAAACAAATCCTTAACTAACAAAACAAACAAACGTTGCCATGAACGTGCTTTTTTTTTAATAAGTCACACACAGTAACAAAACCTTAACGAAAAAACTTTGGAATGAACTTTGCAATTTAGACGCGCAAACTGCGTGCCGGTGCGGTGAGACGTGCATGCTCGGGCAGATTCGGCTTGAAGTCTATGATTCGGACGCGGCGCCGCGCGCGCTGTTACAAAAAAAAGCCGTGCACACAGCACATAGATATAAACACACAGCCAAGCCAAATGGGGTCTTGCCGGTCTTGCGCACCGAACGCGTCATTTTTGCCGCGCGCACCTTCGCGATCGTGCGGACGTGTCGAGTATAAACAAGGCTTTACTCCGTGTCAGCGCGCGCTCTGATCGGTAAAGGTGCACAGACCTCTCCCGAATCATCTCCAGCAGTAGCAGCCTCCGTTTCCCTCTTAAGCTGATATTAGTATTTAAACATTCTCTAAGATAAAAAATGTTTGTAAAAAATATTTTAATAGCACGGTTTTGGCGGTTATAGAGTTCTAATGACGGTGTTCAACTATAACCGTCGGTCTCACGGTTATATAATAACCGTCACACCCCTACCCTCTGGTTCTCCAAAACGGACGTAAGAAACATCATCACCGCATGTGATTGCTAGTTAACCCTTTGACGCGTATGATCGTCCATACTGGCGTTCTCAATGTTCATCATCAACTTCTAAAATTCAAATCTGCGTTCGCATGTTGGCTGGCACTGAGCCAGAGAGACTGACGCGCTCAGCGCTGTGTCATCACAACTATTCAGTATTTTCAACCACACAAGCTTTATTTTAGGTTTCATACATTTAAATACACATAAGTACTAGCAAAACAACATTTATAGTTTGTAAAATACACACTGATGTCTGTGGAAGCGGCAATAACAATCCTTTCAATTATAAATTGATGACGTGTTTAGATACACATTGTGTAGGCAACTATAAAATTTACTCTGTTCTTCTCATACTTCACCAGCCACTTACTTTAATGTATTTCGGGAGAAGTGGATGAATTGACGTGTTGTAGCCTGACAGATACAATTCTCTGAACCGCAGTGCCTACTAACATGGCGCCCAATGCGCGTTATAGATCAAGTTCAAATAACATGAACCATGATCATTATAAAGGTTTCTTAAATGACAAAACACATTCACTTACGTGTATTTAAGAATAAAAATATCAGCCAAGGACTGACTGGCATAACGCAACCAATCACAGTTCGTTATTTGTTCCACGTCATGTTTAGTGTGAAAATGTGAAGTCGATGTCCATACAATTACAGACCGGCGTACATCTAATAAATTATTCATTCAAGAACGTTGTGCAACAATAGAGCCGCGAACCTCACGTAGTTTTGAAAATCCAGCCTTTAGTAGATCCTGATGAGCGCTCATTGTCACAGTTGTAAACATGACGGCGTTCTTCTTCCACGATGGGTTTCGCGTCACGCATTTAAGGTGATGCGTTCTAAAATAACGCTCACCTTGTGCAGGACATGCAATAAGTCAGGAGAGGTGGAAGGATTGCTGAAATTTAAAGCTGGTTTGTAGCATACCAAGAATACAGACTACGTTGCTGTTACTGTAGTTTTATTTTGTCTTAAATTATTGTATTTGGGTTAGGTGGCTTAGGTTTTATTGTGAATTTGTTATGTAAATTTGTTGTATTTTGTATTTAGATTACTTATATTAATATATTTACTCTAAAATTTTAATATATTCAATTTTATTTTATTTCTTTCAATAAAAACACGTTATTTAATGTCATTCACCATCTTTTTGAGGCTCTCTTTTATTTTAAAGTATCGGTTCAGGCACCGGTACCATTTTAAAAGCATCGATTTGACACCGGTATCGAAAAAAAACCAAACGATACCCAACCCTAGTAATAAGTACATTTGTGTTTTTAGTTAATAACTAACCCAAGTCTTTGGTCCAATTTACAAAAAAATTGGTATGCAATGCATCATCCCAAGATCCTCATGATTTTATTAAAAAGGGTTTTGAAGATTTACATCAATTAAATGCTCTGGGGTCTCATTTATAAACGTGACACAAAACGGGGCTAGAAACGTGCGTACGCCACTTCCCACGCAAAGGTTGTGAGCTATTAAAAACAAACTTGACGGGAGAATGTGCGCACCTGTGCGTAAACTCTGAGCCATGCGTATGCATATTTTGGAGACAAAGCAGTTTGGCGACACCGATGGTGAGCTGAGGGACTGACGGCAGATGAAGAAAAAACACTTTAAATCCTCATGAATACAGTGCATGTTCACAATAATAGTTGAAATGAATAAAAGAATGATTTAAACTGTTTTACATCTAATATACACATTTAGATTAAATATGCCATTCTCATTAATGGAGTTAAGCACTTACAGTTGTGGTCAGAATTAATGGCACCCCTAGAAAATATGATAAAAAATGGCTGTAAAAAATAAAGCTGCATTGTTTATCCTTTTGATCTTTCATTCCAAAAATTTGCAAAAATCTAAACTTTCATTGAAGTAAAATAATTGAAAGTGGGGGGTAAATCACATTATGAAATAAATGCTTTTCTCCAAAACTCTCTGGCCATAATAATTATTGACTCCCTGTTATTAAATACTTTTTGCAACCTCCTTTTGCCAAGATAACAGCTCTTGAGTTTTCTTCTATAATGCCTGATGAGTTTGGAGAACATCTGACAAGAGATCAGAGACCATTCCTCCATACAGAATCTCTCCAGATCCTTCAGATTCACAAGTTCATGTTGGTGCTGCTTCTCTTCAGTTCACACTCATTTTCTATAGGCTTCAGTTTAGGAGACTGGGACGGTCATGGCAGAAGCTTCATCTTGTGCTCAGTTACCCATTTTTGTGTTGATTTTAATGTTTGTTTTGGACCGTTGTCCTGATGAAAGATCCAACCACGGCCCATTATAAGATTTCTAGCAGAGGCAGTCAGGTTTTGATTTTTTGTCTGTTGGTATTTGCTAGAATCCATAATCCTAATACCATGTATTTGAAGATGGGAAGATGTCCAGGACCTCCAGCAAAAAAATAGGCCCACAACATATAAGATCCTGCAGTATATTTAACCGTAGGCATAGGGTACTTTTTAATCCCTGTTTGCACCAAACACATTTAATGTGTTTGCTGCCAAAAATCCTTTTTTAATTTTCATCTGACCACAGAATCCGTTCCCTTTTAAAAGTTCCAGTCGTGTCCAGTGATGGGAATAACGGCGTTATAAATAAACGGCGTTACTAACGGCGTTATCTTTTTCAGTAACGAGTAATCAAATGAATTACTCTTTCCCCATTACAACGCAGTTACCGTTACTGACAAAATAATGTGGCGTTACTATAATTGAACTCACTGAAGCGGTTTTCATCCGAGTAGGCTCTCTCTCCGCCATTGGATCTGCAAAGTTTTTTCTCTGGTGTGTGTGTGTGTGTTTTTATGAGGCGCCGGAGTGGACAAAAGCGAAGCGAACGCCGCGAGTGCGCTCAACACTGCAACAATGCGCGAGAGAGACCGAGTGTGTCCGAGAGCGCGCTCAACAGTTGCGCAAGAGAGACCGAGGGTGTCCGAGCATCATATAGTTTATTTATAAATAAATGACAAATTTCAGCATTAGAATAATCTCTATAGCCTATTGGTATCATCTGCAACGTTTTAATTAATTTACATGGTTATACAAATAAAATCTAAAAAATAACCTGCAGGGTACGTTCTGGGTAGGTTATGAAAATAAAACCTAAAAATAACAGGGAACGTTCTGGCAACGTTCTCTTTAGGTTATAAAATAAAACCCGAAAATAACCTGCAGGGAACATTCCCAGAAAACATCTTTGTTTGACCGGTTGTAAACACGTGCGGCAAACATGCCTAGAATTTGGCTTAAATAACCTCTGATGATGACGTTCTCCATAGGTTATAAAAATAAACACCAAAAATATTATATTTTATTATTATTATTATTTTTTTGGTAAATTGTTCAGTATTATATTGAGAGAGCACTTCTTGTTAAACAGTTTACTTTTGTGAGGAAGAAAATACTGTATGTCTACTAGTTGTGAAGTTGTGTAACAGTTTTAGCATTTTAATATGCACTACAAAGAGTATGTATATTGATTATTATTTATTCATTTTTGGCACATTTCTTAAGTAGCATAATTTATTTTTAAACTTATTTGTTGGCCAGTTGTGGTCTGTGCGATATTAAGTATAAACCATCTATTATGTTTTATTGTTCTACTATAGTAATGATAATATTTAGAATAATATATTGAATTTAATAGGTGTCTCTCACATTGTCCCACAGCAACATTAAAATAGTGTAGATTAGTGTTCAA